GTGGGTACCCTGGTCCGCCATCTTCCCCTACCTTGATGATTTATAGGGCTAAGAACTTAATGAATATATTATTAAGGTTGTTAATTTTATGGTCTTATTGTCATTATAGTTTAAGTTCTATTAAACCAGTGGTTCTCAACCTTCCTAATGCCGTGACGCTTTAATACATTTCCTCATGTTGTGGTGACCCCCTCAACCTTAAAATTATTTTCATTGCTACTTCATAACTGTAATTTTGCAACTGTTATGAATAGGGTGACCTCTGGTTGAGAACCGCTGTATTACACCTTGGCCTTCAACCAAGACGAGTTGATGGTCTAAAATACAGCTTACTAATACCTGATTCACAATAAAAAATTTTGTCCCTTCATAGGAGAAGGATAGTGAAGATAATTCTCTGGAATTTTTGTTATGCATTGTCAATCAATTTTCTGATTTCTTACCATTAGGAAGTGTTAGAACTCCACTGCCATTGGAGGGCACTAGGAAATAACTGCAAGTTCCTTCCAAGCGTTGTGTGCGGCTCCAAAGTAACTTTATGCAAATAGTTGTAAACTGCCCCATAGGTTATGCAAGATGATCTTTTCATGAGATACTTATTTTACACACACCCATTTATTCTATATACACCTGATTTCTGTAAGAACGAAGCATTGACCAGTCAGCCTGCAGTGGCCTATTAATTTACATTTACAGAGCCCCTTCACCTGATTGAGTGACCTATGGGCTGGGAAAGCTGGTTACACAATTGTGTCAGGTTTTTGTTTTGTTATTTAACTTTATTGTGATGAACTATATCTATATTCATAAAGATATATGTAAAACACAATCACGTTGAGCTTTGAGGTACTCTAACAGTTATGTGGAAGTCGTGTGTTTCCACAGAGTGCTTTATTTACACAGCCTTTAGAAACCAGCCCTTGCGTCTCCTGCTGTGGAAGCTCAGTGCCCACAACCAGTGCGCTTTCATATATCGGCATTGTTCCACAGGGCCAAGCTGTTGTCATTCTTCCCTTCTTCACAAATCTCACTGGAGGAAGCCTTGAGGACCTTAAGCATGCTCTGGAAAGATTTGTGGTTTCGAATTTCCCTATGACGTCTGATGAATTTCCCCAGGGAACACTGAGGTATAATAATTATGTGGACTGCATGAAAAAGGTTAGTTCTTAATGGCACCAAATAAAGTGAAAACATTGTTTGTTTTGTTCTGTTTTTGCTACAGTTTGTGGTAAAAAATAAGTAAGTGAAAGATCCGGGATCAGGAAAAAGCAACGTTCAGGATGCAATTTAATTCACATCTGTATAGCCCCTGCATATCTGAACCTTTGAAGTTCATTTCTCCCTCACTTAGAAACATAGTGTGTTGCATTTCAGTGTAGACTGACGTAGCAGCTTAGGATCCAGTTCTCTAACTTCTCGATACAAGTTGTTCAGTGACATTGATCGCATCCTTCATAGTATGTCAACATCCTCTTTTGCCTTCGAATTGCTTTGTTTCCCTGACCCCTTACAGTTTCATCTTGTTTTTTTCTTTTAAGTAACTTTACTATTTGGTCTCATCTAGGTGATTTTGGTGTTTTTAATTTAAAATTTTTTGATGTTGGTGTTTTTTTGGGGCTTTTTGAATCATTGGGTGTTCTTATAGCTTATAACAATCCATACATCCAAGCGCATTTGTACATATGCTACCATCATCATTCTCAAAACCTTTTCTTTCTACTTGAACCCTTGGTATCAGTTCCTCATTTTTTCCCCTCCCTACCTCCCCACTACCCCCTCTTATGAACCCTTAATAAATTATAAATATTTTCTTATCTTACACTGTCTGCTGTTTCCCTTCACCCATGTTTCTGTTGTCCATCACACTGGGTAGGGGGAGTTATATGTTGATCACTGTGATCAGTTCCCCCTTTCTCTCCCCACCTTACCCTTACCCTCATGGTATCGCTTCTCCCATTATTGTTCCTGAGGGATTTATCTGTCCTGGATTCTTTGTGTCGAGAGCTCTTATCTGTACCTGTGTACATGTTCTGGTCTAGCCGGATTTGTACGGTAGAACTGGGGTTATAGTGGGGGCGGGGGGCATATAGGTGGCTTTTAAAGGAGCACATTACTTAAGGGCAGTAGCCATTTGTCATCAAGCTACAAAGTGACTTCAAGTGTTAGCTTCAGTTCAAGGTTTGAAGAGAATCTTAGGCAGTTTTTCTTGGAGAGTGCTTTAGTCTCAAGCCTTCTAGAAGGTCAGTCTTTCTAGTAGATCTGTTTTTGTTTGTTTTATGAATTTGAGATTGTGTTGCACCTTTGTCTCCTGTTCGGTTAGGGACCATCTTTGTGGTCCTGATAGGATGGTCAGTAGGTCTAGGGAGCACCATCTAGTTCTGGTTGTGGGGGAGATGAGGAACTGTTTGTCTTGTAAACTAGTTCACCCTGTCCTGTTTTGTAATTGTGAACTATTTTATGCATTAACATGGATTATGTTATGGGCTTCAAAAATATCATGAAACATGGAAGTAAAAGAGGGTGGGTTTGTCCCACAAACTATTTGAAGCCTTCTTATCCATGTAAATTATGAAGAATAATGCTAAAGAAATTAATAATAAAATATAATATCAATATGGTGTAGTTCCTAAAAGTTAATAAAACAGTGATTGAGACGTATTTAGTGAGTTTAACCTATATTATGTAATTTACAGTTGAAGATTCCTAAAATACTAGTGGCTTAAATAGATAGTGTATTGTTTTGCTTTCTGGTATTATTCTCGATGCTAGCCCGAGACAGCTCCACAGTCAACAGTGCCCGCACCCTTCTCCTTTATCTTTTTGCTCTGTTCTTCTCACCCAACTTTTATAGTATTGTTCTATTTCCAGCCACTTTATTTACTTTCAGGCAATTAGAGGGAGGGAGGGATAGTAGAAAACATATCTCTTTTATGACTCAACTCAGAAGTCACCCATATTTATTTGCTCATACCTCTCTGGTCACACAGGGCTATGAACAAGACTAGAATTGTTGGTTTCATGCTGGTTGACCAGGTAATCTAACTAAAATTCAGATAGTTGACCAGTCGGGTGGTGGTGCGGAGGATAACAAATAGGGGTGTGTGATGGTCTGCCGTACTCACGATGTAGTGAGGACTAAGCTAATGTCTGGATACTCAAATATAACTATGACATTGTTCCCAAGGAGCTTACAGTCGTGCAAGAAATTACAAAGAAACTTAATTAAAACACCATGATCAGGGCTCATCACAGCTCTCTCAGAAGCTATGATATCAAACAGGTCTCAGCAGAGCTTTGAGACTAAACAAAGAAGGCTCTTGGAAGTTAAATATTTAAAAGCAAAAAGAAAAGACGCAGAATGGAAGGTAAAATTGAGGCTATGGTTAGAAGGTGGAACAGACAGATACCATGAAGAGCAGATAGGAGAGTAAGGATATAAATAGAGAAGATCAGTGTAGATTATCTACTGTGCAAGTCTCCAGAATGGAAGGGTCCCTAGTAAGTGCATAGGATAATGGAATTTCAGGATTAAGAGGAGTTCTTGACAAAATTTAAAGGGAAAAGCACCTGTAAAATTTTAAAAATAATTACAACGGAAATCTTTGATGAATACTGTTGCATCAGATATATACATAAAATGATAAAAATTGTAGCATTTGTTAAATTGTCAGTGAACTTCTTTATTTAAAACTGCTAAAAATAAAACACCTAAACCCCAAGTTATTATTTTTTAAAAATCATTTTACTGGGGCTTGTACAATTCTTATCCCAATCCATACATACATCCATTGTGTCAAGCACATTTGTATTTTTCCTTATAATTGTTTTAAAATTCGTTTGTGTTCTGCCAGTTTCTAGATGCATTGGAATTATCGAAAAGTCCTGTATTGTTGCAACTGCTGACAGAAATTCTTTGTCGGGAGCAGCAACACGCTATGGAAGAGTTATTTCAGTCTACTTTCATGAGGATTGCAATTAGGTAAGTCGTCTGGTTTGGTATCCAGGAGCCACGCATTCATTCCTGGGGGGAAGTTCTCTCCTCTGCTCTCAGAACATTGAAGGCAAGTGCACTCAACTCTTACTCTCAGGACTTACTGTTGGTTTTTTTCCACTTCTTATTTAAAAATAAAATGGAAAAAATGTGTGTTATAAAAGTTTTCAAAGCTAAAGAGATAAGAGTGTTTTAAACAAAAATAGTTCATTGTCTTTTAGGTGAAAGTTTACACACATCAAATTCAGATTCCCAGTGAGCCATTTTTATATAAAAGGTTCCATAATATTGTTAGTGTTCACACTGTGTCAGAATTCTCACTATTTTCATCCTGTTAGGTTCTGTCTCCATTGATCCTCTTCTTGCTTTTTCATCCTGGATGTCAGGTAATTGCTGACCATCTGGTTTTATACAGAGGATTGTTTTAGAAAGTACATTACTCACTGGTGTCTTTGTTCTAAGTCAGTCTCTCATTTGACTCAAGTGTCTTTCACAAGCACCTTAGTTTCAAGCTAAAATTAGTGTTTCTTAGGGCAGTAGTCTCAGGGGTTCCTCTTCCCTCTAATGGTGCGTGAAACCTGACCTTTTAAAGGGATTTTAAGTTTGTTCTACATTTTTCTCACATTCTATCTAGGACTTTCTGTTTTATTCCTGGTCAGGACAGTCAGGAATGGTAGCTCGGCGCCATCTCGTTCTGATTTCAGGAGAGAAGGGAGAAGCCCTGGCTTGTGTGGGCCGATAGTCCAGGGGACTCGTTTCTTCTTTGAGTCTTCAGTCTCCTTCACTTTCTTTTGCTCCAGATGAATTGAGATTAATAGCTGTGTCTTAGATGGCTCCTCATAAGTTTTAAACCCTGGGTGCTACTCCCCAAACTAGGATGTAGAGCATTATCTTTATGAACTATGCAGTTATCAGCTGAACCCAGAACCTATACCATTTAACCCACTAAACCAATTCTGTAAGTTGTTTGGGTATGTCTGGGAAGTCTCTGTGCCTCATGTGTTTTATAGGTGAATATGATTAGCTATGCAGCACACAAAATACCTCCATGCATATACCTGTAGATACACCTGTACGTGCAAGTGCATTTACTGATACATGCCATTCTATACACATACTACGTATAGAACCACACATACATTCTTGGTTGTTATTAATATCGTCATAAAATTATATATGTTGTAGCATGTACCAAAATTGTATACCTCCTTTCCTGTGTGCTTCCTGGTGTCCTCATTTACCGTAGTTAAGTAGGACAGACGCCCCTCATCTTTGGTATTGCCTTTCCCATCTCCCGAAATAACAAAGCTCCAATATTTATAAAATGATTTCCTTTCCCACCCAACTCAATGCCTGTAACCATCAAAGAACTTTGCTTTCTACATGCTTACCTATTTTTGATTTTTTTGTTAATAGTTGTGCTTTTGTGATTGATTGATTTCATGAAATATGTTTTTTTGCAATTGATTTTTTTTCACTCAACATAATGTCCTCCAGATCTGTGCTATTTCTTGCACACTCCTCATTATTCTTTATCTGTGCACAGTATTCCATCGTTTGTGTGCATTACAATTTGGTTTCCCACTTATCCGTTGCTGGACCTTAAAGTTGTTTCCATGGTTTTGCTATTGTGAATAATGCAGCCATGAACAAAGGTGTGCATGTCTGTTTATGTCACTGCTTTGATATCTTTTGGGTGTATACCTAGGAGTGGAATTCCTGATCATGCTATTTTTTTCCTAGCTCTCTTATTATAAGTAAGGTAACTAAATCTGCCCTCCTAATTTGTATATTCATAGATAAAATGTTATAGATAGCCAGTCATATGTCTTATTTACCAATTTAAAAAATAATCAGTCAAATAGGTCTTTCTCTTCATAAGAAATGGGAGTGATGGTTCATTATTTTAAAGAGACTAGAATTTTAAAATCATAACTCCTGATTTTCATTACCTAGATATCTAGATATTTAGATATCTTCCTAATATCTAAATTTAGTGTGAAGATTTCTGTGGGTAAGCAAAAAGTTGTAGATTATATATAAAGTATTATATTTCATATTTATGTATCTAATCTTCAAGCCTATTTTGGTAATTGATATTTGCCAGAGTTCACTGTGTCATATAGTAGGCATGCATGACTTATTTGATCCAAGAATGGATATTCATGTGATTTTTCTTTTTCCTTAGGAGTTCATGTATCACACAAGTCACCCTTCTGGACAGTGTGTACGCACTGTTTGGGAGGGATGACCTACTTTCTAATACCACTCGCCAGTCATTTGTAGATCGTTCTCTGCTTACCCTCCTGTGGCACTGTACTCTGAGCGCTTTGAGAGAATTTTTTAGCAAAATTGTGGTGGATGCCATTGATGTTTTGAAGTCCAGGTTTATAAAGGTATCACATATCTATTTTAAATTACCTATTAATAAGAAAGGGCAAATATTCTCGACTAATGTCATTAAATATTGAGTGTGTTATAATCATCTCTGTGCATTTTGGTAACAATATACAAGGGGGTACCAACCACCCCCCACCCCCAATGGATTTTTTTCAAAGCTATGTATTTAAATTTTTTTTTACAAAACAACTGTATCACCTTCAAAGTACTCTCTATTATACTTAATACATTTGTCAAATCTGAGATTCCATTCTTGGAAACATTCTTCAAGCTCGTCTGTTTAAATGGCTGACAGCACCCCCCTTGCTTTCTTCTTCCCCTCTTCTGTGTCATGAAATCGCTGTCCTTTCATGTCCCTTTTTATTCCTGGAAACAAAAACAAGTCACATGGAGTGAGGTCAGGTGAGTAAGGGGTGTGGGGCAAGAGAGGCAGCTGTTTTTTGCCAAAAACTGGCACAGTGCGATGGCTGTGTGAGCAGGTGCATTGCCATGGTGGCAAAACCAGTCACCTGTCTCCCACGAATCAGTCCTTTTTGGTCACAAACTGCTATGCAATCTTTCAAAACCTCTAAATAGGAAGCTTTATTAACAGTCTGACCTGGTAGAATGAACTCCAAATGTACTATGAGTCATCATTTTCAAAGGTTCAGAAAGTTGATGGAAGTCCAAAATGAGGTTTTTCATCAATCAACGTTTCACTCTTTTGAAATGTGAAAATCACTGGTACACCGAGTTTTTCCCATAGCGCTGTCCTTATGTGCTGTGTTCAGCAACACAACAGTTTTGGTAGCATTTTACCTGGGCCGGAAACGAAAGTTTACATCCGCACACTGTTCTCTTAAATCGGCCATCATAAAAAACAAGGTTCAAGCAAAATAGCTTTTACGAAAAAAAATTCACTGTGCCCAGATAGAACCTTCCCAGGTGATGGCTCTGGGTGCACTAACTCAGAGTTGCGAGTTGCTCGATGCTTGCCTAGCCGGAAAAATGTATACTAAGAAAGCTTTGCTCAGCCTAGCCCAATTCCTGGGGATTTTTGGGTACCCCCTCGTCGTATATCTTCTGTCATCTGTATAAACTTCTCGAGGTGGCTTTAAAAAGTGACTATAGTCTTGGTGGCATAAAACTAACTTACTGTCTCACAGCCCTAGAGACCAGAAGTCTGAACTCAAATTTACTCTGCTAAAATAGCAGTGCTGTCAGGGCTACGCTTGTTAGGACCCTCTCCAGGAGAATTCATTCCGTGTGACTCTTGAAGCTTCTGGTCATTGCTAGCATTCCTTACTTGTGGCTGAATCATTCTAGTCTTTGTCCCCACTGACACATTTCCTCCTCCTTTCGCGTCTTTCTAATATTCATCTCTCTCCCTCTTATCAGGTTGTTACATGTGGCTGGATTTAGGGCCCACCTGGATAATCCAGGATAATTTCCATAACTCAAGATCCTTAATCACACTTGGAAAGTCTTTCGTTGCCATATAATGTATCATTCGTAGGCTTCAGGGTTTAAGGACATGGATTTCTTTGCGGGAAACCATATTCAGTTCATCACATAAACCTTTGGGGGAAATATTGAACCCTTCAAGTGGTACATTATTAATATAACATAGACTTCAAAATAGTTGACTTTTTTTTCTTTTCATTATGTTGAATTTTTCACCAACTGCTGGCCTGCAATCCCCATGGTTAGCAGTTCGAAACCACCACCACCTCTGTGGGGAAAAGCCTAGGCTTTCTATTCCTGCAAATAATTACAGTCTCAGAAACCCACAGGGGGTTGCTGTGAGTCAGCATTGACTCTATGGCAGCCAGTTTTTTGTTTTGTTTTTAATTCTCATCTTTTAAGGAAGATCTCCCTAAAAGCTACTGTTTTGATTAGATCTTTTTTGAAGTCATTGTAACAATTCTGTTTTTATTGTATTGCTGAGAGAGCTGATCCCTGATCGCAGAGACATGTAAACACCTTTTGTTGGGAACCCATGCATGTACAACTTGGAACCAGAGTAGCAATGCTTTTTGACTTACCCTCTGGTGCGTTCCCTTAGTCTAGGCTCAGTATTTAGACACTGTGTGTTTTGCTAGTTGCTTAGTTCCCCAACATTGCAGATCAATGCTTCTATCTATCTTTGACCCTGGATAATAGCCTACCTTTGATTCAAGTGATTTTACATGTTTTTATGGTTAAAATTATTTTGTTTGTAAACAGCATTGAATATTAAATGCTTCTTATATATTTTTTCCAAAACCATTTTATTGGGAGTTAATAGAGATATCATGTTGTATACGACCAACAATAATTATTTGTTACCTTTTCTTAGATAAATGAACTTGCTTTTGATACTCAAATCACTAAGAAGTTGGGCTATTTTAAGATACTAGACGTGATGTATTCTCGTCTTCCAAAAGATGATGTTCACTCTAAGGAATCAAAAATCAATCAAGTTTTCCATGGCTCCTGTAATGTGGAAGGAAATGAACTCACAAAGACGCTTATTAAGTAAGACTTTACTTAATTTTCAAATGTATTTACTTTGTTAAATGTTGTTTTAAGCAAGCTTTAAATATATAATTAAGAAATGAATAATGTTGGTTTTCAAGAACTTGGCAATGAACTAGTAAGTTGTATACCTTTGGTTCAAAGAACTAGAAGCCTCACCAAAAAACCTTGACTGAAATTCTTTTAATTAAATGGGCAGGGAGAATATTTTTCTTTTTCTGGTGATAGCTGAAATGATATGTATGACTCATAAAAATCACAGATATTGCAACTGCTTAACACAAACAAGAATCCACAATGCCCATTAATTTTTGTATTGGGAATACCCGCTTGTCTATTTATTCTGACTTCTTAATATCAGAAGATTACATTCTATAGTCAAAGGAACTAGTTGCTAGTTGTGGAGCAAGGTCCCTGAAATTAAAGGGGGGCTTTCTCCGAAGTGGTTTGCCAGAGCCAAGCAGGCTACACCCTGCGGAATCCTGGGGAGAAGATCCTCTCATTCTGCCATTCATTGAGCTGCTTCATCTTTAACAAGTCTGTAGTTGGAACCGTTTGTTAGAACAAGTAATTGAGCCACAGGCAGTATCATAGGTCATTAGCATTTGTGTCCAGTTTAGCCTTTGTTTAAACTAGACCTTTTATTCTAGCTGTTGTAGAGCATGGTGCTCAATGAGTGCTAGCGTCGATCACTTCCACTGAGTAAAGGCAGCCCTGTAACAAAGAGTACGTGTAAAGATAACCTCTGAAAGTACGAAGATGAGTCTAAAAGTGTTGCCACAAAATCATGGAAACCTTTACTATGCAAAACCATCAAAATGCCAAGCTACTGTTTCTTGATATATTCTTCATAAAAGTCTGTACCCCTCCGAAGGTGGTATTTTCATCTTTCTCATCCTCATTCAAAGATTCAAGACTCTGATTGACATCACCTCAACAGCAGTTTCAACATTCATGAAGGACTCAAGGAGTCTTCCTTTGAAATGTTCTTTGAGTGTGGGGAACAAAAAGAAATCTGAAGGGCAAAGATCAGGGCTGTAGGGTAAGATGGGGTGAGGTTTGCCAACAAAATTCTCATAAGACAGCTGAGTTAGTTAATTGTGCCAGCCTGGCCGATAATCACATGTGGGGCTAATTGAAAGGCGGAGGGATAAATGGGTGGTGAAGCCTCACCTTTGTTGTTCTCGGGTCTCTTGCTTTGTGATGGTCGCACCAGGATGCAGCTGCCTTAGCAGCTCCCTGCTTCAGCTTGCAAGATTGACATCCTACAAGACATCCCCAAGGAGAAGCCGCATGGACCTATCCCGACGCAGCTCTGGGTGCTGGAGCAGCCGTGTGGAGACCCCTGCTAGTGCTGAGATGCTTGTTCGTTCACTGACTCAGCTTTCCTCCTGCAGTCGGCATCATTGCCTCTGTTTTGTGAGGTGGAGGACTTTGTGGACTGGTGTTGTTAATGGGTTAATGTTGGACTTGTGGGCTTGGGCAGCATTGGGTTGGGATGTTTACGTGATGCACCTTTTCTTTACATAAACCTCTCTCTTATCCATGAGTTGCTGTGCATTTGTTTCTCCAGAGTACCCAGACTAATACAACAGCCTAGAAAAGCCAGCTGGTGCAATGCATGATAGAAAAAAGCTTTTTGTTGTTGTAACTTTCCAGTCTTTTTTCACCAGTGCAGGGTTTTGTTTAGTTTTGCAGGGACAGTCTTTATTATTACTATTATATATTGTAGTGGACATTCAGTTCCCAGAATTGGTTCATTATGTATATAACCTTTATAATTTTTAATTTGAATGAGGTGGGGGTACCTTCAGATAATCAGTTTTATATTCAACAACCTAAGCTATTTATCACCCCTCCCCCAGTAGCTTGCCCTACCACCCTTGATGTTTCTTCTCCAGCTTGTAGAGTACTGTCTCCTCCTTCATCAAGCTGACAGCTGTCTACCCTCTAGCATATCGATGCACTTTCCCCCACCCCCTGTAAACATCAAAGTTTGTTGTTGTTGTTATGAAAACCCTTATCTTGGTTTTTCCTTTATAGCACTGAGTTCGTTCAGTACTTGTACTTTTGTGACGGACTTTACTCAATGTAATGCTCTTCTGTATCCATCCGTGCCTGAGGGGTTTCATTCCTGGTGCTTTAGCAGTGCACGTTGTTCCATTATGGATATGTTCCACAGTTTGTCCCTGCTTCACTGCCAAGCATGTAGGTTGTTCCTGTCTTTCTGCTGTTGTGGACAGTGCTGGGATGCAGATGGGATGCACCTGTCTGTTCATGCTTTGGCTCTTATTTCTTTAGGCCACGTACCCAGCAGAGGGGTTGTTGGGTCGTATTGTATTTCTGTTCCCAGTTGTTTGAGGGAGCGTCATATTGCTTTCCACTGCACTTGCACATTTTTAAAGCCCACCTCTGCAGTGTAGGAGGGCTTCACTTTCTCAGCACCCTCTCTAGCATTTGTTAGTTTCTGTTTTTTGAAACTTTTCTATTTATGCTGGTATGAGATAGTATCTGATCATTGTTTTGATGTGCACCTCTCAGATCAGTAGTGATCGTGAGCATTTTTTTCTTCACATGTTTCTTGGCCTCCCGGATGTCTTCTTTAGTGAACTGTCTGCTCACATCCTCTGCCAATTTTTTAATTGGATAATTTGTCTTTTTCTTATTGAAATGTTACCATTCACTACAGATTTTCTAGATTAGTTCCATGCCCAATGTGTCTTGTCAAAATGTTTTGCCCAGTTTGCAGGTTCTTTTTATCTGTTTATGATGTCTATTGATGTACACAAGTCTTGTTTTCGCAATGTCTCAGTTATCTATTTTGTCGTGTGTGTGTGTGTGTGTGTGTGTGTGTGTGTGTGTGTGTTTTGCTTTGTTTGGTAGTGTGCTTATGCCCTGTGGGAGGGCCCTAAAGCTTGTCCCTAGTTTCGCACTGATGAACATTAAAGTTCTCGGATTCACATTTAGGTCCTTGGGCCATCCTGTGTTGATTTTTCTATATGGGGTGAGGTTTAGGCCTTGTTTCTTTCTTGTGTAAATGAAAATCTAGTTTTGCCTGCACCATTTGCTGAAGAAACTCTCTCTTCTCCATTTAATATTTCAACTCTTGGTAAAAGATTAGCTTGTACTATTTTTCTTTTAATATTATTTTCCATTTCCACCATTTTTATGCATAAATTTCAAACATTAATTATGTTCCCTGTAATGTGTATTATGGATTGCAGCTCAGTGTAAAGAAAGCCAAAATCTTCACAACCAAACCCATATGTAACATCATGATAAACAGAGAAAAGATTGAAATGGTCAGGGATTTCTTCTTGTTTAGATTCACAATCAATGGTCATGGATGCGGCAGTCAAGAAATCAAGCAATGTATTGTATTGGGGTAACCTGCTGCCCAAGACCTCTTTAAAATATTGAAGAACAAGAATGTCACTTTGAGTGCTAAGCTGTGCCTGACCCGAGCCATGGCATTTTCACTTGCCTTATATATGCGTGTGAAAGTTAGACATTGAGCTCTCTGCTCCTCCTCGTGTGTTCCTGTGCAGTCCCAGCTGCATCCCGGAGACACGATGGTGAAGGTCGGAGTGAACGGATTCGGCCACATTGGGTGCCTGGTCACCAGGGCTGCTTTCAATTCTGGCAAAGTGGATATTGTTGCTATAATGACCCCTTAATTGATCTGCACTACATGGTCTACATGTTCCAGCATGATTCCACCCACGGCAAGTTCAATGGCACTGTCAAAGCTGAGAATGGGAAGCTTAACGTCAATGGGAAGGCCATCTCCGTCTTCCAGGAGCGAGATCCCGCCAACATCAAGTGGGCTGAGGCCGGTGCTGAGTATGTCGTAGAGTCCACTGGTGTCTTCACCACCGTAGAGAAGGCTGGGGCTCACTTGAAGGGCGGTACCAAAAGGGTGATCATCTCTGCCCCTCTGCCGATGCCTCCATGTGTGATGGGTGTGAACCACGAGAAGTGTGACAACTCCCTCAAGATTGTCAGCAATGCCTCCTGCACCACCAACTGCTTAGCCCCCCTGGCCAAGGTCATCCAGGACAATTTTGGCATTGTGGAAGGACTCATGACCATAGTCCATGCCATCACTGCCACCCAGAAGACTGTGGATGGCTCCTCTGGGAAACTCTGGCATGATGGCCATGGGGCTGCTCAGAACATCATCCCCGCATCTACTGGCGCTGCCAAGGCTGTGGGCAAGGTTATCCCGGAGCTGAATGGGAAACTGACTGGCATGGCCTTCCGTGTCCCCACCCCCAATGTGTCCCTCGTGGATCTCACCTGCCATCTGGAGAAAGCTGCCAAGTACGATGACATCAAGAAGGTGGTGAAGCAGGCAGCCGATGGTCCCCTAAAGGGCATCCTGGGCTACACTGAGGACCAGGTTGTCTCCTGTGACTTCAACAGTGACCCCCACTCTTCCACCTTTGATGCTGGGGCTGGCATTGCCCTCAACGATCACTTTACCAAGCGCATTTCCTGATATGACAATGAATTTGGCTACAGCAGCACTGGTGGACCTCATGGTCCACATAGCCTCCAAGGAGTAAGAGCCCCCCTGGGCCACCAGCCCCAGCAACAGCGCTAGAGGAAGAGAGGTCCTCAGTTGCTGGGGAGTCTTTGCCCCTAATTCAATCCCCCAACACACTGAGAATATTCCATCCAGACCCCCAGAAAGAAGGGGAGGGGCTTAGAGAACCCGACCTTGTCATGTACCATCAATAAAGTACACTGTATCCAGAAAAAAAAAGAAAAAAAGTTGGACATTGAATAAGGAAGACTGTAGAGGAATGGATGCGCGTGAATTATCCTGCTGGCAACGAATACTGAAAGTATTATGGACTGCCAGAAGAACAAACAAATCTGTCTTAGAAGAAGTACAGGCAGACTACTCCTTAGAGGTGTGGATGGCAAGTCTCTGTCTCATGCATTTTGGACACGTATTCTGGGGAGTTCAGTCACTGGAGAAGGACATCATGCTTGGTCAAGTAGAAGGGCAGTGAAGAAGCAGACCCTTGGGTAGGTGAATTGACAGGGATTCCAACAGTGGACTCCAACATGACAGCGGTTGTTAGGATGACATAGGACGGACTGGGCAGCGTTTCATTCTGCTGCACACAGGGTCACTGTGAGTTGGGACTGATTTGAAGGCACCTAGCAGCAGCAGCAGAAACAGCCACCACCACTCTCTTGTGTCCAAAATTTTCATCACCTTTAACAGAAACTCACAGTCACTTAAATAGTACTGTATTGTGCACCCGTGTCCTCGCCTCCCCGCACTCCGCTCACACTCGCTAACAAACTTTAGTTTTCATACATTTGTCAATTTTAGATAGTTCATATGAGGGATCTTTAAAAAGTTCTTGGAAAAATGAAAGTGAAAGCTAATGAAAAATTTCCATAAACTTTTTGAACCCCCTCATACACTAGTTGCCCTTTTGTGCCAGATTTCTTTCATTCACATGTTTTCAAGATTTATTCGTGTTGTATACATCCTGTATCAAAATTTCATTTCTCATTGTGACTGAGTGATACTCCATTGTGTCCACACATAGCATGTTTGTTTATTCATTCATGGGTTTATGGCTCGTGGCTTGTTTCCACCATGTGACTGTGAGGAATACAGTTGAAATTCTTGTTTTTTCTTATTTACAAATCACTCATATGGTTTATCATTGGACACAGATAATTTTATCCTATACTCATTTTATACCAAAAATGTTTGTTTTGCTCTTTTGCATATCATTTTTCACTCTGAAGCGGTTGATATGATTTACGGTTACAAGAAACTAAGTGTATTTTTTTCTGACTACAGTTTGACATTGAAAGAGTTAAATATTTAACAGACATCCAATAAAACACAAAGTAGTCAATTATATTTCCTCTAAAATTATCTCTTTAATGATATTTTCTTCGCAATAAGTATTGAACAGTGACATTGTTGACATGTCTCATTTGACATATCTTAACAAATTTATCATCATTCTTTACCTCAAATTCGTAGGTTTCCTTCTCAGTTGCTCCATCTTTTTGTATAATTATGAGGCCCCAAACTCATAGTTTATCCTTCCCTCATCTCCATCTCTCCAGACTTTGTTTATAGTCCATCGGTCCCTTGATCTGGACGATGCCATTTCCTCTGCATTCCCGGGTTGCCGTTACCGTGTTACAGCCCATCCATGTGCACAACCTCCCGGAAGCCCCTATGCTCTCTGGTGAATGACACTAGTAGCCTGTAACCAAGCTTTCCTCCCCACTCCGTGGCTTCCTGCCTCACTCCATCTGCACTCTTGTCAGAATCATAAAATACCTGTGATGCAGACTGGACTGTCTCATCTCAGTACTGACCACCCTTTTAGGACACCTCATCTTCTAGAGCATGGATGACAACTTGCTCTATAAAGGGCCAGGCAGGTAATAGTCTTGGTTATCTTCTAGTTCAAGTTTTCAAAATGTTTTGTGCAGTGGGCTGTGGAGTAATGACCCCTGTCATACAGGAAGGCTCCTCTAGGAATCACGCCTGTGGTTTTCCTTATTGCGTGCTATGGTACGCTGCACACTGCCCCCGTCAGCACCCAAGCCCTGGCCGGAGTGCCGCAGTACCGCACTGTGATTGCATTGTGCCTCTCTCTGCTTGTAATATCCTAATACCAGGCTTGCTTTCGCTGACTTGTGATTTAAGATTCAGCTCCAATATTTTCTCCTGAAATCTTCTTTTTCTTGGCTCCTTAGACCAGGCCGCTGTGTGTCTATCTTGTGTCCGTATCTCTATCTGTGCACTCCCCCTCTGTGTGGTAAGGCCTGTGATCAATCAGTGCATTTGCAACCAGAGGCTGTGTGGACTCACCGGTGCCCATTATTCTGTGTGCAGCACAGGCCTGATGACTCTCAGGGAATGTGAACTGAATGAGAGTCTCTGACTGGGGTGCCAGGTTTGAGCAGCCGGCTCCACATTTTATTAATTAATTTTTATCCTGAATCTACTCTGCAGATTGTGCTATGATGCCTTTACAGAGAACATGGCAGGGGAGAATCAGTTGCTGGAGAGGAGAAGACTTTATCATTGTGCCGCCTACAATTGTGCCATGTCTGTTATCCGCTGTGTCTTCAGTGAATTAAAATTCTACCAAGGTTTTCTGTTCAGCGAGAAACCAGAAAAGGTGGGCTTCTCCTGAATAGGCCACTAGTGCTATCACTGGGATTTGAGAAGTTCTGTTACACCAGCTGACCTTCTGTTATAGTATATGCTGTACAGTATATCAGTAATCAGCAAGTCAGTTCTGAGTCACAGTGACTTGAGAGAGCAGAGGCGAGCAGAAAGCCCCTAATGCTTTGTAGCCTGGGAGCAGTCACCAGGGCTTCTCTCTTACAGAGTGGCTGGTATCGAGCCACTGGTCTTTAGGTTAGCAGCATTTGCTTCTATACATGCACCTAAAATAGTATTTATTATTATGTAAGTATATACAATTTAAGACTGCAGTGCTTCTCTGTGAATTACCAAGTAGTAGTAATTCTATAGTAACATCAGTAATAAGGATAGCCTATCATTCAGATAATTTCCTTATTCTTTGATTTACAGAACTTGCTTATTTTTGAAAATCTGATAGATGTGAATTGCTGCTATACATTTCCTGTAGAAATTGAGGTAAGTAAAAATCTTTAGTGTTGCACCTTAAGTAAGATAACTGATTAAGTCATTATAGAAACAAAAGCATAAACTCTACATGCAGTACATCGAGCAGATGCCAACTCATAACAACCCTAAGGACAGGCCAAATCTGCCCCTATGAGTTGCTGAAAATGCAACTCGTTAGAGTAGAAAGACCCAGCTGTCTTCCATGGAGCGGCTGATGGGTTTGGATTGATGACCTTCAGTTAGCAGCCCAACATGGAACCACTACACCGCCAGGGCTCCATAAGTCACAGTGGTGCAGTGGTTCTCAACCTGCCTAGTGTCGCGACCCCTCCATACAGTTCCTCATGCTGTGGTGACCCCCAACCATAACATTATTTTCATTGCTACTTCATAACTGTAATTTTGCTGTTATAAATCGCACTGTAAATATCTGATATGCAGGATGTATTTTCATGGTTACAAATAGAACATAATTAAAGCATAGTGATTAAAAACAAAAACAGTATGTAATTATATATTTTGAAATATTTATTTCTAATGACAAATAAATGAAATTTTGTCTTGAAGCATGGTGTAGCCTGGGTAACAGTCTTCACACTGGGTACTCGTATGTGGGCATATCTGCATGTGGGCGGACCTGCCTGAAGATGGATAGAGGAGTCACAGGTGTCTCAGTTCCTAAGACCATCAGGAATATGTGTTTTCCATTGGTCTTAGGCGACCCCTATAAAAGGGCCGTTCAACCCCCAAAAGGGGTTGCGACACAGGTTGAGAACCACTGCTATAGAGGGAGGTGTCTATTATGATGAACATGTTAAATTAGTAATATTTAAGTCTGTTTTAAACTACAAAACTCGACAGTTTCGGATACACATAGAACCTCCACCCTGAGGGACGGACAACAGAGAAGTGGGTGAAGGGAGACGTTGGACAGCGTAAGATATGACAAAATAATAATTTATAAATTATCAAGGGTTCATGAGTGAGGGGGGAGCAGAGAGGGAGGGAAAAAATGAGGAGCTGATGCCAAGGGCTTAAGTGGAGAGCAAATGTTTTGAGAAGGACAAGGGCAATGAATGTACAAAGGTGCTTTATATAATTGATGGATGTATGGATTGTGATGAGTTGTATGAACCCCCGATAAAATGATTAAAAAAAAACAAACAAAAACTTGACAGTTTCATTAGTTGCCCCTGAAGTTAACTTTATCAGACAGCTACAACCAAATTTGTTCGAACTTGATGTTTTCCACTACTTAGTTTCAGAAGAAAATAAATATCAACAAAAAGAACAACAACAAAACAAACAAACGTACTGTTTGCTGTCAGGTCAATTCTGACTCATAGCAACCTTATGACAGAGTAGAATTGCCCCATGGGGTTTCTAATACTATAGATCTTTAAAGGAACAGAAAATCTCTTCTTTCTCTTGAAGAACAACCAGTGGTTTCCAATGACAGACTTTGAGATTGGCCACCAGGATGCCTAACCAAAGGAGCCATTAGGGCATGTTCTACAAGCTGGTTCTGATTAAATTCTCTTCAGGAAGGAAGCTGGGCCCTTTTCTAGTACAGAACCCCGGGCCTGTGGCCCTGGCGGTAGCTCTGCAGTAACAGAGTGTCCTGAGCAGAATGAATGGGAGGGTAGAGGAGTGGCTCAGGCAGGCCCTGACAAATGTGATGTGCCAGCCTCTGAGGTTGGTGAAGGCATGGTCTGTTGGATATAGGAGGAAGCTTGCCTATGGCTTGACCAAGCTGGGGCCCCAAAGTGGGACCTGTCTCTCCTCTCCTTACATCGACTCACGGGTACTGCCTCAGACCACACTTTAGTGGCCCATGAGTTCAAGCAAGTGAGTGCTTCTGCCTTTCGCTTGAAATCAGAGTAGAGTTTTTTGTCCCCTACCTCCCAAACATATTTAAAATAACTAGAAAAAGAAGCCAAACAAAAAATATAACAACACTGATCAGTGGGTAGGGAAATGTCCTGTGAGGACCACTCAACCTGCCCTTTTCTGTGGATATTTCTGAAAGCTTTCAAATTTGATAAAAGTCTTGTTTAGGAATTATTCTCCTTTTGCCAGATTGTTACCTAAACTGAATGAAAACGTGACTATGATATTAAGATGCTAAAATCTTTTAAATTGTGTGTCTGTTTTATCTAATAGGTCCCTATGGAAAGGAAGAAGAAGTACATTGAAATTAGGAAAGAGGCCAGACAAGCAGCAAGTGGGGATGCAGGTACAGCATTTAGAATTGATGGGAAGGGTTCCAACAGTTGGTATTTTTTCTGTAAAAGGACAACATGTTAAATAAAACATTGAGCTTGGGCTCGGATGAGATTTCATTTCTAAGTGGCAAATGGAATTATATCTTTCAAGAAGCATAATTAGCTGAAAACTGCACAAGAATATCTCAAATGGGAAAAAGAAGATGGGCAGAAGGGCTTGGATGTGTTACGCTATTAAAAACCTGCAAGCCATTCTTGAGAAAGATTACTTTGCATAAGGGTTGCATTTATATAGTGTTTAGATACACTCAGAAATTGAGGTTAAAATAGAAGTCTTGTTAAAAGTTTTTACCTCCCTAAGCACAAAGCTGCTACACCCTTCTTACCTACTAACTGCTTCTCTGGTCTTTTTTTTTTTTAATTCTCCAACTTGTTCATTCCTCCTGGCCCATCGGCCCTGGCTCCAGAGCTTTTGTGCTCTGTCTAGAATAATCTAGGTCCCAGATATTAGCAAGACTCATGGCACTTATTTAATGTCAGACTCCCAGACCACCCTATATTCCTTGTTTCAATATTTTTCCTAATTTTTCTCTTGACTTTTAACACTATTTCTTAATTAGAGAATAAAATTTGGACCAGGTTTCTTGAAACCCCTTATATCTCTTGGATTGGCTATTTCCAGTAGTATTTCACATGTATGTTAGAATTTAGAGGCATCGTATTACTGTATATACAATCAGAATTTCAGATACAGAGAAACTTTGTTAATCATGTAAAATTCAAAACTTGGGTTCAGTTTAGCTTAATGTCCTTAGCCTTGACAGTAGAGAATGACTGTTTACTGATGACAAAAACAATGAGAGGTCTTCTCCCGCTTTCCATTATACTTTGTTGGTCTGAATATCGGGTGAATCATAGAATTGATGTTAAATGTATTCATTCGTTTAAATGCCTTTGAACCTGTAGATGTATACTGTTCATGTCTGAATAAACTGATTTTCTTTTTCCTTCTATTTCAGATGGTCCTCATTATATATCTTCCTTGTCATATTTGGCAACTAGTAGCCTGAGTGAGGAAATGAGCCAATTTGATTTCTCAACTGGAGTTCAGAGTTATTCTTACAGTTCTCAAGACCCCAAATCTACCACTGGTCATTTTCGGAGATGGGTGATTATATATCACAAATTAAAAGAATGTTCCACATTGCTGAAGTTTGTTTAAAAGAGAGAGAGTTACAGCCTTGCTACATTAACCTCATAGAATAGTGTATATTGGGAGATTAGGCCAAGATCTAAGGATCAACAGTTCCCGTAGACATAGAAACTCGATTTTATCAGAATAGGAAGGAAGTATCTCTCAAAGGGGAAGATTCTCATTAGCCAGCCTTCTTGCAATTAATTTTTTGAGTATAAGGCATCTTTGAGTTGTTTTCAATTTCAAGGGAAAAGCTCTTAATTTTTCTCCATTAAATATAATGGTGGTTGCTGGCTCTTCATTTATGTTCTATGTCTTATTGAGAAACTCCCTTCCATTGCAGTCTTCTTGATAGTTTTCATCAAGAAAGACTGAATTTATCAAATGCCTTTTCTGTATTCATTGTACATGAGTATGTGGTTCTTTTCCTCTGTTATGTTTATGTGGTGTATTGCATTGATTGATTTTTGTACTACTGGAGTAAATCCTGCTTGGTTACTCTCTGTCTAATTCTTTTAATGTGCTTGTGGATTCTGGTCACTGTATTTTGCTGACATTTTATTAGTTTATAGTCATAAGAGATATACGGTGGCTTCAATAAGTTCATGGGGAAATTCCATTATTTTGTATTCCATTGATTGTGGTTGTCTTTTCTTGTGGTGCGTTTGTATTTCTTTGGAATCAGGGTGTTGTTTGCTTCATAATGAATTTGTGCAGGTTTCTTCCCTCTCTGTCTTTTGGAATAGTTTAAATAAGACTGATGCCAATTTGTCTCTGTGTGTTTGGTAGAGTTCCCCAGTGTTGGGAGTTTCTTCATTATTGAATCAAGCACTTCTCATGTTATGGGTCTATTCCAATAGTATGTCTTCTTTTCTTTCTTCCAGCACATTTAAAGAGTTTTCTGTCTATAGGACTTTTACCGTTCTGGTTAAATTAATTCTTAGATGTTTAGATGCTGTTGTCAATGGTAATATTTCTTTAATTTCCTTTTGCTCTTCCATATTGCTGTTTAGAAAGTCTATGGAATTTTGTGAATTGACCTTGTACTTTGCCACTTAGATGAATTCATCAATTTTTTTTCTAATACTGCTCTACTGGAATTTTTGGAGTATTCTATACATAGAATGATGTCAACTATGACATTCTATTTCTTGATTTGGATAATGATGATCATTATTTCTTAGCCTAGTTTCTCTAACTAGAGCTTCTAGAGTAATGCTGAATAACAGTGGCAAAAATGGGCATCCGTGTCTTTTTTTCTGGTTTTAATGGGAATATTTTTAGTCTGTTTTCCATTGAATATGTTAATAGCTGTAGGTTTTACCTTAGATGTCCTGTATTATATTGTGGAATTTCCTTTATGTTCTTACATTGTTGAACATTTTTATTTTCAAAGGGTATTATTCCTGAATCCTCTGAAATGCCTCTGTCATTCTTTGGGATCTTCTTTGAGGGTAATCTCCTCCCTACTCTGTCTTGGCCGTGGAATCGGTCATTTCTCTAACAAGCTCTGTTCCTTTGGGTGGTATGATGCTGCCAGATCTAGAAGACAGAGACAAGAAATACATACACGCTTACATACACATGTGTATACATGCAGGGAGAAAAATGGGGCTTTCTGCTTTTATAAACCTAACTGTTTAAGAGCCTCTTTTCCATGTACACTAACATGTAAGCTGTATACTTTACCTCTTTGCATTCTCCTCTCATGGTAGGATCATCAGGAGCCAGTGGACCGAGGGGAGTTCATGGAGCTGGAGATGGATGAGCTGAACCAGCATGAATGCATGGCCCCCCTGACAGCCCTGGTCAAGCACATGCAGAGAAGCCAGATCACTGTGAGGGTGGAGGAGGTACTGTCCCTGCAAGGTCATCTTACCTTCCTTTCTGCTTTCCTATTAAAAGACGCTTGTGATCTTGAAGATAGCCACATTCTTTATAAAATAAGCATAGTTTTGTTTTACACTCAGCTTAATTTGCTGTTTTTGTTTCATAAATTCCAATTAGGAAGACATTTTTAATTCCAATTTTTAAGGTAAGTTTTCATGTTTTGTTTCAGGGTTCAGTGCCCAGCACTCTTCCTGCTTGGATGAAGTTTCTTCATGACAAACTAGCAAATCCATCAGTACCATTAAATATCCGCCTCTTCTTAGCCAAACTGGTTATAAATGCAGAAGAAGTGAGTAATTCATTATTTTTGAAAAGTCTTTGAAATTATGTGTATTTTGAAAACAATAAGTAAAGGAAGATGTACAGGGGATTGAGCCTGGAATCCCTGCTCTTGTGTATCAGGCAGCCTGCTGCATTTATTTACATGTGCATATTTCTCATGTAAATTTAACTTCTCCTGAGTTAGAAATGATGTTTTATAAAGATATGTGTTGGGGACAGATGATACCAGCTTTCTTTGTTTACAATAGCAGAAAAATTGGTGAAAATATCTGTGAATGCTCATGGAACATTAAATGACTCTTTTATATAGTTTCTGCATCAACTTGATATGCACTCCACTGGTGGGAGACAGGGCCAGTTTTCGAGAGCATTCTTGAGTTAATTGTGATATGAATGGGATGTGCTATCCCCAATGTGAGCGGGTCCATTGAGCCCTTGAGATAGGCAGGCCTTGTCATGTGGTCTCCTATCACAAGTCAGGACTGTAGGAAGGATTGTCCCAAAGTAGTAGGGAGTTCCTCACATGTGTTGGCTCTTTCTAGGGAGCACTGAAGACAAAATTGAGCCTGGAGATGAATTTAGCCTGTAGATGTATTTCATGTAGATTTCAGAGGTCTCAGATATATGAAATCTATAGAAAAATGGCTTCTGTAATATAGAGAGAAATTAAGGTGTATTAACTACATGTGCTGCCTTTCATTTTATATCTTCATTTTTGTATGCCTTATGCATTCCTCTAAAATAACAGAATTTTCTAGAAGTGATCATTACTCAGATGGAACAGAAAGGGTCGATACAGAATACTTCTATTTGATTTCCACAAGCATTATTAGAAAGGATTTGAGCAAAGAATAGATCAAGAGCAAATCTATTTTCATTCAATTGTGGTTTCAGGGGCCTATGAAGAAATAATGCAATAGATAATTCAATCTTACTAAACCTGGTAGTTGTTGAAATAAATGTTTGTTTTAAATCTACATAAGTCATGATATAAAAGTTTAGCTGATGGAGGATGTATTTCTGAATTCATGTTTTGGGACTTCAAGACAATTCTTTGATATCTGACTTTTAAATTCTGTTGTAGGTCTTTCGACCTTATGCAAAGCACTGGCTAAGCCCCTTGCTGCAGTTGGTTGTTTCTGAAAACAATGGAGGAGAAGGAATTCACTACATGGTGGTTGAGATAGTGGTCACTGTTCTGTCCTGGACGGGTATAGCCACTCCTGTAGTAAGAATTGATATATTCATATATGTAGATCGATGAATCCAAACCATTGCTTTTCTCACCTTTGGGTTGTACGACCTTGTTAAGACGGAATAGTTCAATCTTTATGTTTTATATCTGAATGGCACTTACAGAGTAATCAGTTTGATGCTTTTGGTATCAGAAAGTATTTGCTTTCATTCTAAAATAGTCTTTATAATCTGACACTGCAGGAAGATGAAATTAATTATCAGTTACGTGTAAGCTTTGCCTCTAAGTAGTTTGTGTCGTGGTTTCCGTGGTTGACATCCTGAGTAAATGATTGTGACGCAGCATCTTTATTATCACACTGCTGTCGTGCGCCTGTACTGATGACTCCTCCTGCTTTGGTTTTGTTTTGTTAATTTTTTATAATTATTCTCACTTTTTTCAAAAAAACTAAGCTGTTAGATATTTTTGGTCTGTTTGTTTTGGTGTTTACTTGTTGTTTTTGCTTGCTGGGATCATGGGAACTGGACGACCGCTTTGTTAAATGATGTGCAAAACCAGATGGTTGTCGCTGCCATGACCGTGAACAGGTTCTTGCAGAGCTTCCAGGCTAAGACAGATGAGGAACAACGTCCTGGTGATCTGCTTTTGAAAAATCAGCCAACAAAATCCTAGAAGTCACCCCAGCCTGATTGCTATTCCATTACCGAGATGGGCCGGGCTGGGCAGTCTTTCCATTATGCAGGGGCTTGCCGTGAATCATGAGCCTAAATTAGTCATAGCTAACAGCAACAACAATAATAGACCCTGAATGTGAAGCATGGTAGAACTGCTTCTGTGACTGAAGGCCACGAGTATTGGCCATGTGTTTTGCCAGCCCATTTCCTTCCAGAGGATGACCGTTGAGAGGGGAGTTGGCTAAAGAAGAGATTGCCCAATGAGTGATTTAGCTGTGGTATGTCGCAAGCACGTGGTGTTCACCCACCCTGGTGGTGTGGGAACATTTGCCCATTCACTTCAAACCACTAGAAATAATCATGTGTACTGAAGTTTTCATATCGGGCATCCCTGGGCAACAATTCCAACTGAAACAATATGCTCAGAGAGAGTTTGTTTGTTCCTGTGTCGACCGCATTTAATCATAGTCAACCAAATTTCTAGTTCTCTCTTACAATGTAATAAAATCATTTGTAGGGTGTTTAATAACTTGAAAAGATTGAGAGCTTAGATTAATTTTAGGAACCACTTGGAAAAAAATTGATGGAGATGTTTGATTTCTTTTTTAAATAGACTTTAATGAACTTAAGAATGTTATTTCCAATTAGAAGGCAAAATATTAATATAGAATTTGTTATCTTTCTCAGGGGGTCCCTAAAGATGAAGTGTTAGCAAATCGATTGCTTCATTTTCTCATGAAACACGTCTTCCATCACAAAAGAGCTGTGTTTAGACACAACCTTGAAATTATAAAAACCCTTGTTGAATGCTGGAAGGACTGCTTATCTATCCCTTACAGGTATGCATTTACTAGTTTACAGAACGTTGCTTAGAGATTTAGGTTGAAATGGAACATTTGATAATATTATAATGAAAGTTAATTATATGAAGTGTGGATATGCATGTAACTTGAAATAGGATCCATATATAGGGTTACTAATAAAGCCCCAACTTTCCAAGTCTGACACTGATAGCTTGCGTGGGCAGGTGGCAGCCATGGCTCTGCCGTCACCACCCCCCCCCGTCTACCCGGTAACTGCACTGTGCTGGTTGTGGTCCTGTCACTGCCTCCGCAGGGGGTGGGGCTGCGGTCCTTTTAAATTCCTTTTAGCATAGCCTGAAACAAGCTCACACTTTCTAGAGGTTTTACTATTGACAAAGGGAGCCTGTGGTCAAATTATTTGTATATAAGAAATATAGGACTGTCTGTGATACAAAATGAAAACAATGTGGATGAACCAAGGGGCAATTATCCAAGAGAGTGATTTTTAAAAAAAATCATTTTATAGGGGGCTCGTGTAACTCTTATCACAATCCATCCATCCTTCTATTGTGTCAAGCACATTTGTACATTT